TTAATCGGGAAAACCTTGACCCCATATAGGCTGCTGCAACATGTCTATAGCTGTATTCTAAATCGAGCCCATCACCTACTTCGGAAACCCTTCAGAAATCTCCGAACTTGATCGACTTCATACTACATAGTTTTACAAATTTCATTTTTGCTGTTAACGTCTTCTCTGTTCGACGCGTCCGACTTATCACTGTTCCATTTTAGCTTTTTGTATCTAATTATATTCGCCCTGTCCATCAGAGAATTTAGAAATGAGACTGGCAAAGTTTATATGTGCACTTTGCAAATTTATTTTTTTGTCCCAATACGCAACCAACACACTGAGCTTTTTCATACGAAACTGCCAAACAGCAAATATGTTAACCCGTGCGATGACGCATGCGCTCAACCAGATATGCGATCAAGCCAAAGTACGAGTTGCAGTCGAGTTTGTTGTCGTGCGGCGATTCTGGTGATGCAGCTATAATGTATTTACGCGAACTTCATCGGCACAAAATAGCATTACATATAGGGCCTATCCAATTTTTCACGTGAGATAGACCTTACCTGTCATCATGGCACGCATTTGTGAAAACTAGTCTTATCGTGCAGCAATTATCAAATTTTCGATAAATAAAGTCAATAATCGCACACAGCAGAACCTGACATTCTGCTTCATCTTTAACACTAATAGCTAAGCTTCTAGCGGTGCCACCTTTAGCAGCCTGAAATTTAATAAACGCTTCAATCGCTCGTAAGAACTTGGATTGCTGCATTCAGACACAAATGGGCTTTCAGAATATCTTGATTTATGTGACTGCATGGCGGCATGCTGAAATCGTGCCAGAAGAGCAACGTATATCTGATCTTGCCTGTTTTTTATAGGGAGCCAAGCTAACCATTCTCTTCAATACGTACGTGTATGCGCCGATCAGCCGTGCTCTATTTGACTGAAGAGACATAGTAGTTGATTTTTTGGCAGAAAAAAGAAAGTTTATCACACAGCAAATAGCATTAGCCGACTCTGCAAAATTTTACTAAATGTCACCCCTGAGTACAGAACAAGAATAAAAAAAATACGCAAAAGCCTAAATGTACTTAAACATTGCTTCATTATATAAACAATGTTAAATAATGTAGCAGTTGTATAGCATAAAAGTCTGCATACAAAATTGAAAATGCAATAGCAGTATTATGTGCAGCCTGCTGTCTACAGTTGCT